CAGACAGTAAAGAAGGACTCCGCTGCCCACTTTGGAGGAAGAAACCCTTGAAAACTTTGTGGATAGCTTTGAAGCAGAACATTGTCAAAGTTACAGCTAGAAGATGGGCCCTGCGGTCTGAGGGCACTTGAAATGTAACTTAAGAGGAGCTGATTTCTTGGACGGGAGTTGACTATGGTGACAAGCGTTAGGCATGTGAGAGTGGAGCTTTTAGGATCTTCATTTGCTGATGGCAAAGAGAAACAGCTCCAACATATTAAATTAGGAAAGCAGCAAGTGGTCAAAAATGAAATGGATATCATAAAGACAGTGTTCTAGGGATCAGTGAGTTGAAATGGACTGGTTTTGGCTCTTCAAAATCATGAAGTCACAATTTACTACGTTGGGATAACACACTCAAGAGGAATGGTGTGGCTTTCATTGTCAGCAAGGACCTTGCTTAACCCTTCATGAGGTGCAATGCTGCTTGTGATGGGATTATATCTGTCCATCTTTAAGGAAGTTCAATCAATGCAACTATTATTCACCTTTATGCATCAACCACAAAAGCCAGTTTTGAAGTTAAAAGAATACTACCAACATCTTCAGTCTGAAATTGATTCAACATGCAATCAAGATGCATTGATAATTATTGGAAATTGGAATGGAAACGTTGGAAACAGAGGAAAAGTAGTTGGAAAATAGGGACTTGGTGACAGATGCTGGAGATTGCATGAGAGAACTTTGCAACACCAACAACTTGTCCTTAGTAAACACCGTTTTTTAACAACATCAAAGGTGACTATACACATGGGCTTCCCCAGATGGAATACACAGAAATCAAATTGACTAAATCGGTGGGACAATGGAGAAGGTCTACATCAGCAGCTAAAACCAGGCCAGGGGCTGACTGTGGAACAGATCATAAATTGCTCATATCTAAGTTCAGGATAAAGCTGAAGAAAATTAAAACAAGTTCACAAGAGCCAAAATAAAACCTTGAGTATATCCCACCTGAATTTCAAGAACATCTCAAGAATAGATTTGATGCATTGAACACTAACGAGAGAAGATCTCTGGGAGGACATCAAGAGCATCATTCATGAAGAAAGCAAAAGGTCATTATAAAGACAGGAAAGAAAAGATCAAAGTGGATGTCGAGACTCTGAAAGTTGCTTTTAATTGCAGAGTAGCTGAAACAAATGGAAGAAAGGAGGAAGTCAAAGAGTTGAACAGAAAAGTTCAAAGGAAAGCTCTAAAAGACAAAGCCAAATATTATAATGTGAAAAGACCTAGAATTAGAAAACCCAAAGGGAAGAACAGACTCAGCACATCTGAAGCTGAAATAACCAAAGAAAGAATTCAAGCCTCGAGTTGAAATCTTGAAAGTCTATGGGGAAAATATTGAATTGTGCAGGAAGCATCAAGAGAAGATGGGAAGAATATACAGAGCCACAGCACCAAAAACAATGAGTTGACAGTCCACCACTTCAGGAGGTAGCATCTGAGCAAGAATCCACAGTGCTGAAAGAAGTCCATGCTGCACTGATAGCGTTAGCCAAAAACAAGGCTCCAGGCATTGAAAGCTGAAGCACTGGAAGCACTCATTTGCCTATGCCAGGAAATTTAGAAGACCGCTCTTTGGCATTGGGTAGAAAAGGGGAACCGATTACAAGGATCCCCTTATAATCTCCTCCTGGGGGATAGACAACAGAAAAGTGGGTGAAGGGAGACGTTGAACAGTGTAAGACATGACAAAATAATAATTTCTAAATTATCAAGGGCTCATGAGGGAGGGGGGAGCAGGGAGGAAGGGGGAAAAATGAGGAGCTGATATCAAGGACTCAAATAGAAAGAAAATGTTTTGAGAATGATGGTGGCAACAAATGTACAAATGTGCTTGACACAATGGATGTATGTGTAGATTGTGATAAGAATTGTATGAGCCCCCAATAAAATGATTTAAAAAAAGAAAAGAATGATGGCAACATATGTACAAATATGCTTTATACAATTTCTGTATGGGCTGTTATAAAAGCTGTAGGAGCCCCCAATAAATTCTTTTAATAAAAAATAAATAAAAAGCTTCAAAAAAAGAGAATGCTCCAACTTTAGAACTTTATCATTGATATTGCGTATAAGTAAATTTTTGCTTATGATCATCGAACAATGGTTGCAGCAGGACATTGATAGGGAATTGTCATAAATTCAGGCCAGACTCCGAAGAGGACATGGAATGAGGGATATCATTGCTGATGTAGTGAATCTTGGCTCAGATCAGAGAATACCGGAAAGAGGTTTACTTGTGTGTCTTTGACTCTATAAAGCCAGTCGGCTGGGTGGATCCTAATAAACTGTGGATAGCTGTGAGACGAACAGAGAATCCCAGAATTCTTCATCGTGCTCCTGCGGAACTTGTAAATGGATTAAGAGGCAGTTGTGCAAACAGATCAAGGGCATCCTGTATGGTTGAAAATCAGGAAAGGCATGAGTTAGGGTTGTATTCTCTCACCATACTTGTTCAATCTGTATGCTGAGCAAATCATCACAGATTTGCTGGATTACATGAAGAATGCAGCATGGGGACTGGAGGAAGGCTTATTAACAACCTGAGATATTCAGATGACATAACCTTGCTTGCTGAAAGTGTGGTGGAAATGAAGCACTTACTGATGAAGATCAAGAATTGTGGCCTTCAGTATGGATTACAACTCAATGGAAGGAAGACCAAAATCCTCATAAATGGACCCATAGTAATATGATAAATGGGGAAAAGGCTGAAGTTGTTAAGGGATTTTGTGTTGCTAAGATCCACAATCAATCCCCATGGAAAGAGCAGACAAGAGATCAAAGGACGTATTGCATTAGGTAAGGCTGCTGCATAAGGCCTTTTTAGAGCATTGAAAAGCAAGGATGTTACTGTGAGGACGAAGGTCTGCCTGACCCTAACCATGATATTCTCCATTACATCATATCCATGTGAAAGTTGGACACTGAATAAGCAAAGTTGAAGAATTGATACATTTGAATTGTGGTTCTGGAGAAAAATATCAAAAATTCCATGGACTGCTCTAAGGACAAACTGGTCTGTATCAGACAAAGTAAGGCCCGAGGCAAGGATGGCAAGACTTCATCTTACATAGTTTGAACATGGAGTCAGGAGAGATCAGTCCCTGGAGTAGGAAGGACGTTATGTTTGGTAATAACGTGGAAGGATGGAGAAAAGAGGAAGGCACTCCATGAGATGGGCCGACACAGTGGCTGCATCAGTGGGCTCGGGCACAGGAACAACTGTGAGGAGGCCCCGGACTGGCAGCGTTGCGTTCTGCTGTGCATGGGGCACTGTGGGTTGGAGCCGACTCGATGGCACCTAACAAGCCTGTGTCCTTCTCTCCTCTTCTGTCTCAGGAAGGCACCGTGGAGATGAAGAGCCCGTGTCTTGAAATTATCAGCGCTGTGTTCTGACTATTGTCAGCAAATAATCAAAGACCAGGAAAAACAAAACGGTAATTGCTAAGACAAGAGGAATTAATGATATTTCACAAACCAGAGCATAATGGTCTACAAAAGCTATTTGAGACATCTTTGTAAAATTATATTTTCTCATTCATTCTCATACTTTTTCTTTGAATACTGCAGAAGTCACTGAATAATCAAGCTTTTACAGATATCTGTGTTTTGTGCCTTATAGTTTCCCAGAACTTGTTTGTGAAAAGCCAAAATATACAGTTTAATTAATAATTCATATAAAGAAATACAGGCCCTAGAATAAACGGTATCCACATGCAGGAGAATGCAGTTGAATGATCTCACACCATATACTAAAATTAAATCAAGGATTTGGTGTAATGATGCATGCTACTAATAGGTTTTTTTCTTAGGCAATGAAACTACCCTAGAATTAGGTATTAGTGAGGATTACACAACTTTGCAAATATGCTAGAAACCATTAAACTTTACAAATTAGAAGGGTGAAATTTATAGCATGGTATAGAAAATATATTTCAATTAAAAAAAGATAAAACATAAACCCAAAATAAAACAAGCACAGCATCAATAAAATCAACAAAGACATGGCCCAGAAAGCATTTGAAGCATTTCACTGACAGATATACCCTAGCACTGAGGTAGAGTATAAAAAAAATGAACACTCTTTTTGTAAAAACAAATTGAAGATGGTTAAAAGCACAATTTTATTGTAATTTTAAGATGCATTATTTTTTCACATTTCTGAAGTAGAAAGACATCTTATAATTTACAGTATCTTTATTTAGTTGATTTTTTTTTGGTAATACAAACAATGGCATCATGGATTAGTGTATTCCACGAGTGTTGTATTTAATATGCAGAAGGTTATGGCAGAGGCTGGTCACTGTCTCCCAGTATGTGTTATCTTCTGTCCATACAGCAGTAGGACTATTAGCGAGGTACATGGCCACCCAGCCAAGGATTGTTTTCTCGGTGCCCCTTACAACAAGATGTGCCACATGCCTAACTACTGGCCCAATGGAAGCGAGCAGAAACACCAAGTGCAACTGCTGCTCTGTGCCTTTACAGGGAAGGTGCGTGCTCCCTCTTCCTCTTCTGCACGCCTGGCCATTTTCTTCCCTCTCTCTTTCCTGTGCTTTCTTCCTGTCTTCTTTCTGGATTATAGATGAGATGGCGGGAGCTGAGCAGCCATATTCATTCATGAGTCATGCATGGAGAGTCATAAAGCAAGGAGAAAAGACATGTGAGTCCTTAATGGTTCTGAGGCCAATACTCGCCTCCAATCGCAGATTGACTCTGCAGACTTCTTAGGTGAGAGAGAAGTAGATTTCATTTGGTTAAGCCACTCTCAGTTTAGATCTTTCTGCTATAGAAGCTGAACAAATATTCTTTCAAATATAAATGGCTTCTGACATCTGTTTTTTCTGGTGGTAATCTATTACTTTTTTCTGTAATGGGAATAATTCTGTTCTCTCTCTACACACACACACACACACACACACACACACACACACGCACACGCACGCGTTTGAGTGGTTGGTGGGTTGAATTCCTAACCTTGTGATTGGCAGTCCAGTGCTTCCCTTACCACATGCCACCAGGACTCTTACCAAACATGACATTTATTAATCAGGAATGTATTGTGAACAAAAGCATTTTACTTTTCAGTATCTTGGAATGAAGACAGCTCTAGCTTATGGTCGGTCTATAAATTCTATATAATACCCTTCTTAGAACTGTCTGTTCAGAGCAACGGAGGGCAGCTTCTTCACGGCAACTGAGGTTTCTTGATAACGCAGAATCTACCTTGTCAGCGGAATTTCTCTGACTTTGTGTGGTAAAAAGTCCTGATCAGATTTCACTGCTAAGAAAATTCTTTCAGCAATACAAGTACAGTCAAGTCTTTTGCATGGATAGCTGAACATTTGGGCCACGAGAAAAACAAAGTCTCACAAAAAGGGTTAGGGAAACACAACACTCTGGTGTCTGGTCCTGCCTTTGGCTGGGAGAGTGCGCTGTCGTTGAGTGCGCACGCCATTCACGCTTTCAACAGCCATACTCTTGATTCTTCATATTTGAGGAGCTGGAATGGTGAGGAGGCCTGTGGGCTTGATTTTATTAATGCCGCCATCTAGAATGCAGATTCTTGGATATTTCATCTTCACAAGATGAGCTGCAAACTGGAAAAACAAAAAACAAAACAAAGGTCCACATTTATACAGGGGTATACCACTGTCTCCCATACTTTCCTTCCTTCCTCATGCTATGAAAAAGAAACCGACCTTAATGTTTCTATTGCTGTCACTGTTGAATCAATGCATCATTTTTCAGTTTTAATATAAAGAAAATAATTAATATTAAACATAATTTATGTAAGCCATAGAATCCGTATGCAGCATTAGTTCTTTTTTATACTTTTGAGTAGGCAACAAATATCCACAGTAAAAAATTCAAACAGTAAGATCTGTCTTGAAAAATTCTTGGTGTTATGGTCACCTCAACATCACTGAAGTTCAGGTGCACTGTCCCAAAACAAGCCAATGAGCTGGTTCTTTGTGGAGCAGCCACAATGAACAGATTGAGACCATAAGCTTGGAATGAATTTGAAGGACCAATCCAGGTAGACTTTTAGATGCTTAGCACAACAGATGCTGAAAAGGTTTCCAAGACACGCAAATACCTTCCTGACTGGCTAATGTCTGTCTATCCAGGATCATTGATTATCATTCTCCAGTCCTTACACTTCGTGATCAAGCAGTCTTGAACTGCTTGTCAATCCTCTGATGGACAGGATTAATAGTGCTCTGAGTCCCTATTTGTGCAGGCTTCCCTCTGTTGGGAATATGTTCCAATTCCTGCCAGTTCCTGCCCCCACCCACCAGCCTCCCATCTGCCTAATCTTTACTTATTTACCTGATCGTTTTCTCTAGGAGATGCCTTTGACCCCGTAGGCATAGGCCTAGGGTCCTTCTTTTCTACCCCTATCGTTTCTTGTCTGAATTTCTATTTTTGGCCTTACCTACCACATTTACTTAAGTCACTTGAGAGCCTGCTGCCTCTCTCAAACTGTAAACTCCTCTACGACATTGACTCTGTTGTATTACTTTGTATTTCTAGTGCTTGTTATATGAGAAAAACCTAATATATACATGTATTTTGGTGGAACTAAAGTATGACAAATAACCATTGTTGGCAAAATTAAGTTATGTTTTTGAGAAAATTATAAAATAAAGATACTTTTCTTTGGTCCTTTGGCTCTTCTACTTCTCTATTAGATATTTGTATCCTGAATTTCTTTTCAAAGATTCCATCAAAACCTGCTCCCAGATCCTTCAAGAACAATGACCAATAAATGCTTCTTGAAGGTATTTGAGCATTAACAGTTGAACATGAACAGTCTCAAGCCGGAAATAGAGACTTTAGAATTTGAAAGAATCAGTTGAGTGGTTTGGTAAGGATAAGTTCAAGGTCTCACCTTCAGACATTCTATTTTATTGATCTGGGCACAGAAGTGTGCATTTTAAAATAAACATTGATAGGAAATTTTGATATTAGTAGTTCATGAACATAATTTTGAGAAACATTATCTTAGGCCAAGAGGACAAAGGTGCTAGTTAGTAGGTGGAATAGATTTTGCTGGAAACTGGGATCTCAGCAATCTTCAAAAACAACTATGTAAGTGCCTCTCAGGCCACCCCACCCCCTCTTCTTCATCATGCGCTGCAGTGCCCTTTACTAGCGATTCACATGACCCAGATGGAAATCCTTAATAGCAATTAATGCTGCAAAGAAATAGCTAAGCTGTATTTCAGAAGATGTTGAGTGATCTAGAAGTAGCAAAGTAGTGAGTTTTCATATTTCTTTCTTTCTGAGCTACAGTCCTTGAAAGCTGAGACCCCCAGACCTGTGCAGGCAGCATCGTTCTTGGTACCATATGATTACTGAAGCATCTTGGCTTCCTCCTCCTGCACGCATCATTGCAATTACTATTTAGGCTTCGCATGTGAGCATAATTCTAAGATAATGATCTTGTGGATAAGCTGTTTTGGTTTTCAGAACAGGAAGTCTCCTGATAATGAACGAGATGTGCTCTTAAATCTGTTGTTGATTCAAATTTATACCTAAGTCAGAGCAGTTAGGTGTAGTTCATATCTAAAGACAGCTAGTCGAATGTTTGTCTTAGAACGGACATCTGTATGTTTAGAAAACAGTAAGGAAACTTTTCCAGACACACTAAAATATTGTTAACAAAATGATACAGGACTATACATAATAATGTTTTGATGTATATAGCAAAGTAGCACATACTTATTATAACAAAATATTATAGTACCTCAAATTTTAATAGAATTGACTTCCCTAGGGTTGGTTTGTAGCTATAGGTTGTACATAAGTCACATGTTCATAAGTCAGGGACTGGCTGAACTTTCAAACATCATGGAAGACAAAAACAGAGTGAAGGAGAGGACTTACTGTACATTTAACGAATCCCTGCTAACCTTTGCTGTAGAGCCAGAGAGAGCCCCACTGGGGTTGTAAGAAGGGGCATGATACTCGGCTGCTGCTGAGCTGGAAAAGGGTCAAAGCTAAGCAGCCAGAAAAGAGCCCTTGGGACCCTCAGGCCTCTGCTCTGTGGGAGGTCTAAAAGGAAAAGAAGTGGAGTACAAAGGCATCGCTACGGTTTGGAGACCCCAAAAAAGAAGCAAGGCTGTTTTGAATACAGAAAGAGAGCAATTATTGAATCTTCTGGTGAGATTATGAGCTCTGCTTCTATGAGCGCGATTCATTTATCCCTCTGCTTAGGAGTTCCAATTGCCCACGCTAGACCTGGCCCTAACATGGAAACACAGACCCCTGTTCCACTCCTCCCTTAGAAACGACTCCCTATCATCTTCAGTCTGTGTTCATTTGTTTGTTCATTCATTTATCAATCAAACATTTTACTGGCACTTCCAATTCGGCGGAGGAGACTGTCAGGGACAATTTGCACTAAGTAGTGTGCGTATTTCCAAAGAGGAGGTTCAAAGCACTTCTCAAATGCACAGGGGTTGGGGAAGCTGGGCTTTTTGTTTTTCTCTTTCATGACTGACTTCTGAAGGGGCTGGAAATCCAGTGGGATGGCCACAATAGCTGCACTGATGAGTACTGTTCTCCCTGGTTACAGCTGGACAGCTTAAGGAGGTGAAGAAGGGCAGTGTTTGTGCTGGGGTGGCTGTGCACTGGGCGGACAGGAAGGGCACAGTGCACAGGGAGCAGATCTGTAGGAAGGCGGGGGCGAATCAGAGGAGCAGAATGAGGGATGCGCTTATCTGTCCGAGTTTTCGCAGCCTGACTGAGTAAACACAGAGGGGATTGCACTCAGACTGGATATAAGCCTAGTGTTGAGACTGCCGGTCCAGCACTGGGAAAAGCCCAACTTCAAACAAATCGTGCATTTTGACTTCTGAGCATTAGCCTTGGTGGAAATGACAGAATGACATTAATAGCCAGAAGCTATTAAGTCCTTAAGGATCATCAGGGTGCTTTTAGAAAACAGTGATATCAAGGCCTACTGCCGGCCAATAATTCTTTTAATTTATTGGGATGGAGCTCTGGCACCAGAAATTTAAAAAAATGCCACCTGACCCTCTCTCACTCCCAGAAAAGTCTAATGTTAACCAGCCTTGAGACACGTTTTATTAGCTAAATGGATTCATTGACATGTCTGATCCCACACCTGAAATTGTTCAAGTCCTATGTGAAGGGCAAGTCCCTTTGCCCTAGAAGGGCTGCTGTGGCTTTGTAAGTCCAAATTATATTTGGGGGTGAAGAGGCTTCTTTAGATTGCACAACCAGCTGAGATCTACAGGGTGCCTTAGCACGGAGTTGGCTGGCCCTGGTATTTGCTAGGAGCATCTCAGACTGCAGAGGCATCTGCATTTCCTGTGGGCAGTACTCTCATTGGACCTATACTTTTATCAGTCCTCTGGTTAATAAGCTCTGGTGCTGGTTTTCATTTCTAGAGCTTGGGTAGGTCCACTTCAATCAGTACTGGGTGACTCTTGCAGGGACCACTCCATTCTGCTTCTCTGTTTATCTTGGATCTTAGCTTGGACTAAGGGACTGGTGTGTTTGCCCAAGTGACGTCAAGTTCTGCTGCAGTAAGAGAATGAGTGGAGGAAAGGGATGTTTGAGCTGCAGCAGAGAAGTGCAGGTTAATAAAGGGCAAGGAATCAAAGAGTTGAGGATAAGTAGGTTTAGAGAAAGGCAAAGAACAAGCTTATGCTGTTATTTACTGGACCCCCTAGGACACTCGTTTGAGAATAACCGACACTAACTGTAGGACGCGAAGACAGCTTTCAGCCACTGCAAAGTCGGGAGGAGGAATACATGGCAGGGCAATCAGAGCATCCTGGTGTGAAATTTTGGCCTTGCGAGTTTGAAATTCATACTGGATCAAGTTCGCATGGATGGACTAGCATCCTGGTGAAACGGAAACTGAAAAGCCTTCTCTTTCCTGCATTATCTGTCCGTTACATTCCCGTCCTAGATAATGCGAAATTTAGGGTAGGAGAGCTTTACTTTTGACTAGCATGGTGTTGAACAAAGAACTGGCAATTACTTGATGATAAACTGTTATAGTAATTTGATCTTCTTGATTTTATGGATGTGGGGTTAATGTTGTGTTAGTCTTATGTATCCTCTTGACCCTCTGGAATGTTGAAACTATGGGAGACATTTATTATTTCTGGCACTGTAGGATTGGGGCTTGGCTGATACTTCATGCAAATTATGTATCTATTGCCAAGAGTTTGGCTAGACAACTCAGATAAGTATTTGAGATGACATACAGAATATTGGGGGATTTTTCCATCTAGAGTACAGTTGTGACTTTAGGTTTACTATGATGGAAGTGCTGTGTTATCCTGATTATTTAAGAGATTTTTGGTCCATGAATAAAAGTGTTGACCAGCTGAACTGCCCATCTCAGTGGAAAACAGAAGAACCGTGAAAATTATCACAAAATAAGTTGTTAGATTCCAAGAGAAGGAACACTGCCCGGTCCTATGTACCCTCAGAGTTGTTGCTATGTTTAGGCCTATTGCTGCGGTCATTCTATCTAACCGTTTCATTAAGGGTCTTCCTCATTTTAGCTGACCCCACTTTAACATCCAGGATGTCTTTCCTAGAGACTAATCAT